ATCCAGTCTGTTGATATGGATAATGAATAGTGGCCCCCTTAGACAAAACTAGAAATGGTGGCATGCAATTTTGATGCCATTCAGGCTACACACATTTTACCTTATAATTGGCCACTGCTATACTGTTTGTTTTAGATTATGTATGTCTGCAGCAGGAGTCTGTTTAAAATCATACAGCTAAGTATGCGAAGTAGTAATGTGTATTTTAATCATTTGTTACCCTGCTGGATATTTCTTAAATCATTATGAGTCAGATTGGAATGAGTAGTAGCTTACAATCAAACACAGACACACAGGAAGTGGCCACAGGTTTATTCCCTTCCATTCACCATACTGTAAAAACGCTAGTCGCACTCTTGATATCATTTGGAAACAGTCTGGAGGAAAAAAGACACACAATGAAGAGTGACAACAATATATGGGTTAACTGTTAATTTATTTGTTACAGTGTTAAATTGGTCTGTTATCCTACTTTTTCCCATCATTGTTACATGAGTCTGTGGGGATTCACTCAAGCCAGCCTCAGGTGACTGGATGAGGACCTGCAATTTTTGGGTTCTAATAGGCAGCTGACTGACAAAATAATTTGTCATCTTAATCTTGCCAAGACAATAAACAAGTGTTCGTGTCTCCTTTCTTCAAAGTGAAACATAAGGACGCTTTTTGTTGAACATCAGACTAAATAATACCGGACAAGATTTGGGGGGGGGGGCATGTTCCAGTTTTTACAACCTGTCATGTCAGCTTGTGCATTTACTGTCTGAGCTATAATGGATAGCTTGTACCTCTGCACAATGAAACTGTGTTTTTTGGGAGGGGGTGAAAATAGATCACTGAGGCATATGATCCTCATGTTTTCTATTCATGAAGATAAAAGAGGATAGAGCGGTTGCTACAAAAGCCACCATCTTGTAGAAAGATTAAAGTGGATGACAAGAAAAGCTCAACACACGGCTGTGATATACATGATTCCCACTTTTCTGTCAAGGTGCTAAAATTGGGCTGAGTTTCTGCTTGTTTGTTTGACTCGGGTGTGCGCATCCTTTGCCGTTACAAGGTTATTCTTCCATCCTAACAGCCTGTTCATGTTGAGGACAGATCTAATCTCTTGAAAGATTTAACATCCTGGGCTACTCTGATCTGCGGCCAAATCATCAGAAGGATTCAAGGATGCTGTGGATTGGTGGGAATACAAAGAGGAGGGTTTGGTTTTGTGTCGGAGGCTGCTGGACAAATTTCAGAGCCTTACCAGTCAGTCCACAGCCTTCTTTCTTTACTCCTGCAAGAAGCATCCCTGCACTTCAGGAATCTTAACACGATCTCAGAGGATGCACGTGAATCTGTCATGTGTTGGTCTGTATGATCAACTGAATCTGGCTCTCAAGTTGACATTATCAGTCTGAATGACAGCAGCAGAGCGAAATGGCTGTGCAGAGGCAGCAGTGTGCTGCTAGCTTTCGGAGACAGTCACACTTAATGCCTCTAACCCCATCAATTTGTGAGCAGAGATTGAGTTTCCAGAAGAGCATGAAGTGTGTGGTAAAGCTGTTGACTGTGGCAGACACTGAAGTTTGCTTTTGAGGGAATTCCAGACCGACATAGTTGAGAGGCTCCGGGTCGTCTTGTCCAGCGAACAAACCGTCTGACCTCTGTCGTAGGAAGGTCGTGCGGTTGACCTATGCTGTTAACAAGGGGGCATGAAAAAACAATCGCACGTATGATCAGTCTCTCAACCAAACTATCATAATAAATCAGCGCTGCAAAGAGCATACTGACCTGCTAGAGAAACGTACTCGGCGGTAGCTGCTGATTGAAGTAACAGGCACAAGACTTCTTGGCTTGGAGTGTATTAACACCAACAGCAGCTAAAACAAAACTCTTCAACAACATAAAGAATAGAAATATAGTGTTGGATCTCCTCAGCAGGTCCATTTGTGACTCTATGGTCAGACCCTGCAATCTGATGACCCCAATAATCCGATGAACTCCTATAAGCAAGCACTTGGTCACAGTGGGAAGGGAAAAAAATCCATTTTAACAGGAAGAAACCTCTCATCTGCCACGACTGGTTGGTGATGTGAGAAGGGAGACAGAACAGGCTGTGGAGGAGAGCCAGAGATTAATAATAACCAATGATTAAATGCACAGAGAGGGGTGAGTGAAGAAGAAATACTGCATCGTGGGAAGTCCCCGGCAGTCTAGGCCTATTACAGCGTACATAAGGGAGAATTCAGGGTAATCTGATCCAGTTTTATCAAAAAGGAAAGTTTTAAACCTAGTCTTAAAAGTAGGATCGGGGCTTGACTATTCAAGACCTTGTATGTGAGGGGGAAAAATATCAATATCCTTGCGATTCCATTGCATGTTTACGTCTACACCTAGCAAGCATTGTCTGTGTGTCTTTTGCACTTTGCAGTCGAGTAAAAACAATGTGCAGTGCCTCTCGGTGAGGTGTCACTGCTGTACGCACAGTGATGATAAAACCAAAGGGCAGTGAAGTCACTGTTTTCACAAAGAGTGCAACAAAAGGTTTTCATCAGCCTGGAGCTCAACAGTAAGCAAACTCCAGGCTTACCGCACTGAGCGGTGCTCATTTCATTTGACTGTTTAGAAGTGTTTAGCTTTGTGCAGCAGGAAATAATTTATGACAGCAAGCAAAGTATGTGTTTATATCTCAAAGATGAACTCAATGCTCTAGTTTGACTATATTTCAGTAGATACACGATTTCCAGCAAAGGTGTTTTGTTATATTTTGACCTTGAAGACGCAGTGTGTGTTTATTAAAAATGTTTTAGAATATGTATTTTCTTTTTCCGTTCTGTATTTAAATTTTTCAAGCTGGTTTCAGGTTTTCAAGCAAAGAGAACCTTTTCCTCTTCTGTAGATGCTGAAGCAGCAGCGCTGCACAGGGATGATTGCTGCTCTTTACAAGACAGGGCTATTTTCCATTCAGAGCGTAGGACTCTTCCTCTGATATGGAAAGTGAGCCTCAGAAAATGCTTGATCTGCTCTTTGATGTTAAGGACTATGCTGATCTCTGAACTCGATGAATAGAGTCAGTTCACACACAGATCTCTGTCTGTAAAGGGTCTTATCTGGCTTTATGAGATGGTTAATATCATCTTGGCATATAGGAAAGTATTATGGTTAAATTTAAGGCCAATGAACATTCATGAAAGCCTACAAAAGTATGAGTCGCTTATGTTGCGCACTTCCTTTTACTGTTATTCATGATGCCGCAGGGACAGCACATCTGTGCTAGTTCACCTCAGGGCTGCCTGCACTCTCCTACTATTTTCATTCTGCTTTTGTAGTCCATAGGGTTTATTTTAAATGACAGAGGAGGTATTTATGCTAAAATAAATAAAATACATCAACATTTGTTTTCACTGTAGTACTCCAGGTGCACACATTGCATCATTAAACACATAGTTTTAGACTGTTTTGTGCTGCTTTTCCAGCTTGGAAATGGAATTAGATACAAATCTGTTCCCTGAAGTATTTTCCAACCACTCCTTATCTTTTTTTCTGCTTTCAGATGAAGCTGTGGAACAAGTATAAGGTAACCAGTATCCCATCTTTGGTGTTTGTGGACGCCTCCACGGGGAAGATCGTGTGTCGAAACGGTCTGCTGGTGGTCAGAGATGACCCCAAAGGTGAGCTCAAGCATCTAGAGCTACAAACACACACACACAGGCCACAATATTAGTAAAACCATGTGGCTGATTTATTTTTATTTCCTAACCTCAAGCTCTGACTCTAATCCTCTTTACTGAATGGTTAACCCTAACCCCAGTTCAACCCTAGAAATATGACTGTTTAATGAGGTAATGGGAAGACGTTTTGAGGGTCAAAACATCATAGATCAGTTTCTCACACAGTTTGTCTGTCATAGCTTATAGCGCTGAATTCTTGGTGGGTAGCAATCATCAGTCACTCTTGGCTGAGAGTAATAAGCAAGCAGCATAACTCATTGAGAATTGCATACTGACTTCACACCAGTCTATCTTCTCTACTGTAACACTTGTCACTTCCAAATGTATCTCATGAAACGGCAGCAGCTGGGCTGTAAAATTCCCCCTGTGGCAAAAGGGTATGAATGAGCAACTTGAATAGCAAACTTCAAGATAAGAAGATGTTAAGTTTCTATCTGCATGTGAAGAAAAACATGCTGCATGCATGAGCAAAATATCTTCACGGTGAAGATAAACAGTCGCTCGTGTAAATTCTTTAGTCAGGTGGAAAAACAAACCCTCATGGGGAAGAGAGAAAATATGTAAATGTATTTATGGTGTTATTAGAAATGTTGGATGCTAGACTTAAAGATGGCAACCCTTTCAGTCTTGTTAAAACTGCCCAGCTGGCATCTTCCTGTTTCTTTCCCACACAGTTTAAATCAAATATAGTAACCAAACACCTTCTTGGGCCTTACAAAAGGTTACTGTATCAAATTCTAAAAATGATTTCATCTGAGGTTTTATGAAGGGGGAGAAAAGGCTTTTTTTTTTTTTTTTTGTAATGATTGTTTTGTGTTCAGTGTGCACAAGCTGAACATGGAGCTCCTAACAACCTGGTTTAGCCCCTACATCAGAATAGTTTCACAGGCCAGTGCTGTTCAAGCTTGGATTTGTTCCAGTGCTGCACACTGCACGTGGGCACTGTTCATACCCTCCTACTGAGCTCATGAGATTTAACCCAAGAATGACAAAAAAACACTCTCCTTGCCTGTTAGTGCATCTTTTCCAGTGTTAAAAACCATAGGTATAAAAGTCATAAGATTAATAATTTCTCTTTATTTGTTGCATATTGGACAGTTTATCTTTTTTTAATGGTAACAGTAGGATGATTTCATGCTGAAACACCTTTTTAATAAAAATATGATTCTTCTACTTCTACTTCTACTTCTTCTTCTACTTCTACTTCTTCATCTACTTCTTCTTCTACTTCTTCTACTTCTACTTCTTCTTCTACTTCTTCTTCTACTTCTACTTCTACTTCTACTTCTACTTCTTCTTCTACTTCTTCTACTTCTACTTGTTCTACTTCTTCTTCTTCTACTACTTCTACTTCTACTACCATAAACACCTCAATAATGATTTTCCATCACACCAGCAACTACTTTAGAACCACCAAGAAACTGGCAAGCACGTCTTTGGACAGGTTCAAACTTTCTTGCTGTGAGGTGATCGATGCACCATCGTGCTGTTATACTGGCTAACTCATCAAATCACACCTTCAGGTTGGTTAGCTAATGTCCTACCCTCTTCTAGTTTAGTCCGTGGTAAATGGACTATAATTTATATAGCGTCTTCTTTTCTTTTTTTTTCTTTTTTTTTCTTTTTTTTTTCCTTCCCCCTTTAAACTCATCTAGCAAGCAAAGCACTTTTTACACTCCAAGCTACATCCACAGAACTACTATTCAAGACCCTCTCTAAATCCTGAGCCCGGGTAAACAACAAGACTTCAACCACAGGTGAGAATTGGGTAACCAGTGAGGAGTCCAAGAGATTGGACTGAAATAAATACTACACAATTAGTATGACTTCTGAACTTGACTTGCTGTATCCACTGGCAAGGTGAGATGTGTAAGATCACACCGGCCTTGAGATCAGTCAGTGTCTCTAGGCCCTCGGAAACTACCGGTAACAAGGGAGGGGGGAAAAAAAGTGTATTCTCCAGGTGGTTGCCGAGGTGTTGTTGCCAGCTGCTAAGTGAAATTGGTCGCAATTAAGGTGCTATACCAAAAATACATATTTCCCACCTGCTTTTTTTTATTTGTCATTTTGCTTGGTAGACGGTGACTCATCTGCAAACTACTAATCCTCACACAATTTTTCCGTTGCACTTTTTTACAATTTTGCTATCACTCACCATTTAAAAACTAAAGGTGACCAAAGCAATCACAATGATTTTTTTTTTTCCTCTCTAGTGACCTCACTGTGTCATGGTTCACACCAATCATGTTGTTTTGTTTTGATTTCTCTTCTGCAGTGTCATCTTTTTAATTCAAATTTATGTCACATGCTTCCTGTAAATACTTATTTATTATCTATACGTAAACCACAGCCAAGCGTAACAATTTGAGATATTTATTTGTTTTACTTCTGTTTTCACTCAGTTTTCTATCTGCTAATTGAAAATGTTCATTTAAATTCTTCATGTAAATTCTTAGTTTTATAAGCAATAAGAATATCCAGCCTACCACATTGGGTTCACACCATAAATAAGTCGTTTAAGTTAACCAAAATGTAATGAGTGCAGTAACTAAGGTCAGACCCACATTAACTCGCACACAACACACACCTCAAATTCCTGGTGAGGATTTACTGTGGATATATTGCCCAGTCCCATCATTCAGCGTTTTTTTCGGAAGCATTTTGCAATAACTCCCCCCCCCCCCCCCCCCCTGCGGTGTTTTGAGTTAATGCCGCTATAATTATGGTGCCGTGTGAATATTATAGCGTGTCCATGTCTCACACTCTCGTCTTTGAAACCTATAATTTCTGCACTTTGAAGTGGAGATGGAGAATTAACAAGAGTGATCTTGCATTCCTTTCCTGTATTGAGGGCGTCCATCTGTGGCTGAGACGATCTCAATATTTTAAAACGCTGCCTCTTCAAAGCCTGTTAGGTCAGCTTTAAAAAAAAAATGGTGTCGTGTCATGTGAGAGGGAAGAATAGCAGCCATGTGAGGACTGTGACAGATTTCACTGTCTGTCTAATGAAAGCTGGTCCAGGCCTGCAGTGATATTTCCACAGTTCATTAACTAGATGTGAGCTGAGAAGATATTAAATTGGTGGCTTCAGTAGCAAAGAGAGCCACCAGCACTTCAGGAAGTTTTGCATCTCTTTGAAATAAAAGGCTGTGCTTTTTTTTTTTTTTTTCTTTCTTTTTTTTTAAACATCAGATTTTTAAATTTGATGTATTAAGCTGTGGACGGTTCCTAATGTGACAAATCAATTCAGGTGCAACAGCCACGGCTGGGAGAGGTAAAGGGCAGCAAAAAGTTCGCGTACGCTGACAGTCGGAGGGGCGGGTGAACAATTTGGGACCCCACTGCCTTTCACTGTCGATGAAAGGCCTGACTTGAGTGGTGGCAGACTAGCCCTGCAGCGTAAAGATGGAGTGCACTTTTACAATCAGGACAACAATGAAAGGCCGCGCCAGCGCAGTGCAGACGTGTCGTTCCTGCCTAATGAAGCCCCGGACAACAGCGCTCACATAAAGAGTCCATTATGAACCAGCCATACAAGCTTTTATTTATGATTACACCCCCCCTTTAATTCAGCTGTACCAAATGCATCTCCAGAGCTCTCCGGGAACAATGAAAACACCTTGAAAAGGAAATGAAAAGTGTGAAAGAGAGCAGGAGGGAAGTATTTCTGACAGCCTTCATTTGCTTAAGAGGTTCGACATTTCTTTTTCTTTAACTGTGTGTGTGTGTGTGTGTGTGTGTGTGTGTGTGTGTGTGTGTGTGTGTGTGTTCACATGCATGCATATATAAGCAGAAAACACAAAACAGCCCTTTAAAAACATATTTCAATGACAACTGTGTGTGGTGGTTTGACATGTGACACCCTTAACGGACACAGAAAAGCTGTCTGTGGGTCTTCTGCTGAGCTGAAGTGTGACTCTTGAGTCCACATTTCAGTATCTAAGCAGCTGTTAGATGGATTACCGTGATGTTTTGTAAATATTCATGATTCCCAGACATGAAATCCTAACAGTGTCACTGTGAGTTATAGTAGTTTTAAGTGTGAGTTAAAGCTTTGTGCAACAGTGGACAATTTGTCATGTTATTAATAATGAATGCAGCCAAATACCTATGAAAACACAGCGTCATCATCTTCTGTTGCACTTGCTCCACTGGTATGGAACAAAATACTGGCATTTAGCTCAAATCAGTGCCACGCAGCAACTCTTAGAGCCGCTAGCATGGCAATAATCTCTCCTTTTCCTTCCCATGTTTCCCCTTTCTTTGCCCCCTCTGCTTTCCTACCCTCTCTCAGGCCTGGAGTTCCCCTGGGGCCCGAAGCCATTTGCGGAGGTGGTGGCAGGACCTCTGCTCAGGAACAACAGACAGACAACAGACAGCAGCTCTCTGGAGGGACACTATGTGGGAGTGTATTTCTCAGCACACTGGGTGAGTGGAGAGAAGACAAAGAGGACCCCATCTTTTTTTCTTTTCTTTTTTTTTCCTATTCAGGGCTCCTGACTCTGTGAAAACATTGAGACATCAGAGAAAAAAGAGCGGCAGCAGCACAGCAGAGCAGGAAGAGGCAGGAACAGATAAGAGAGAGGAGCGAGACTCCATTGTGTTTGACTGTTTACATTACAGCGGTTGATGATCTCCATCAGTCCTTTCACCACCAACTGTGGATCAGTCACCACACCCCAAAGACGTCACACCGTTGTTTCTTTTCTTTGCTGCCGCTGCTGATAGCCAGCGAAGGTCATGACTCACGATGCATGGAAGGCGTTAAATCATCGCTGTGCTGTTCCTGATGAGATGCAGCGCGAGCTGCCGAGGCCAGTCGGCGCAGCAGCTGCCAGAGCCGTAGCCTCAGATACCGGCTGCTCAGAATGGTGACGCCTGAATGCTGGCGCAAACCCCAAAGCCATATAAAACTGAAAGGACAAGTCACAAAAAGCAATTACAGGAGTTTATTTGCGGTGTTTTACACCAGGGTCCTCTGGTTACTCGTGTAAATCTATCTGCTACTAAAGCAGTCTCACAAAAACGAAATGCCAGCACTTTGCCTTGGCATCCTGATAGTATATTTTCTTTACTTTATTTCCCTCCTTCCTGTCGGAGGGACCTAAATGCCCCATGGCAGAGACACATGCAGCGTGACCTTCTCTTGTAGTGGGAGAAAACTTTAGTGTTATCACGATAGTACTAAAACAAGCTTGTGTAATGAGCGATGAACACACTTATACAGTGTTTATATCTGTAAGGTATAAGGGAAGATCGCACTTACTACACAAGATACTTTGTGCTTTTGTCCCAACGTCCCTTTGTGTTGATATGATGAAGTGCCACTGTAGGAAGCTTTAAGCTTCTCTACTTAGTAAACAGGAAGATGAGATGAGCCTTAGACATATGATATGTAATTAAGTCTAGCAAAAATACCTCAACATATTTACAGGGAAGGAAACTGAAGCAGCTATGGCATTAATCCATATTTACAGGGAATGTGCTTACTGTGTGTATGTTAAAGATTTAGTCACTGTGACACAAGCAATAAATCTGGCATTTTTGAGAAATTATTTTGGGGCATTTTTGCCATTATTAGACAGGACAGTGGAGAAAGCAGGAGAGTGGTGCAGACACAGAGCAAAGGCTTCAGGCTAGAGTCGAAGTTGGGCCAGTGCATTCAGCCTTTTTGTGGAAAATGGTCGCCTTTGTCCGTTTTGATACAAGAGCATCACACAGTTGCTGCAGATTTGTTGCCTGGACAGCCATGATAGTACTGCACATAACTGCATTAAGATTTGTTGACTGTGGAGGCTTTTAGAGTACTGTACAGTGAGCTTATTTTCATGTTCAAGAAACAAGTTTGAGATGTTAGAGACTACTGTTGAGACATTAGTCTCCAGCCATTGTAAAATGGGTATACTGTGATCATAAAGGGATGATTATGGTCAGCAATAATACTCAGGTAGGCTGTGGATGTTAAATGATGCGTAGTGTGGCAAGAAAATATCCCCACACCATGACACCAGCAGCAGCCGGAATCATTGATGCAAGGCAGGATGGATCCATGCTTTCCTGATTTGTTTTGTTTTTAATGCCAAATTCTGACCATAACATCTGAATATTGCAGCAGAATTGGAAACTCGTCAGACCAGACAACATTTTTTCCGATATTCTGCTGTCTAATTTTGTTCAGCCAGCTTCAAAGTTTTTATGTGTTGTGCTTTCAGAGATGTTCTTCTGCATACCGTTTTTAGAACCAGCGGTTATTTGAGCGTACTGTTGCCTTCCTATCAGTTGAAAGCAATCTGGCCATTCTCCTCTGACCTTTGACATCAACAAGGCGTTTGCGGGAAAGTCCCAGCAGATCAGCAGTTTCTAAAATATTCAGGCCAGCCTATCTGGCACTGACAACCGTGCCATATTCAAAGTCACCTCTCTTCCTCATTCTGATGCTCAGCTTGAATTTCAAGAGGTTGTCTTAAGCATGTTTACATTCCTAAATGCACAAAGCTGCTGCCATGTGATTGTATGATTTGATATTTGTGTTACTGAGAAGTTGAACAGGTGTACTTGGTGATGAGTGTATATGTATGTGTATTTTGGTACTTTCTGTCCTTGTGCTTCTTAGCTGGAGCAGTCTGCATTCATTAATTGAATTACTTATCGTTCATCGGCTAATCAATGTTTAAACAAGTACAGTTTGAGAGAAGAGAAGAAAATCTATTGTCCCTGAAATCATTTTAACCTCAGTTTCACTCCATGCAAACATGTGGCATGCATTTTGTAACTGTTCAAGCTGATTTAAATATTACGTTTCTATTT